ACAGGGCTGGAGAGCTCTGCAGGGTGGCAAAGGGATAGCGGGATTCTCCGTTTCTCTCTCGTTATTCCAAGCACCGTCGTTTTCTGGGGTGGGAAAGTCGGATCTTGGATAAACCTGTGGGGAGTTTCAGGGAGCTCAGCCCCAAATCCCTCCCAGTCTGGTGGGAAAGGCCAGTGCTTCCCGCGGTCAGTGTTCTCCGAGAGGGAGTGAAGATTTTGAGGGCTTGGCTGAGCTGTTGGGCTCCCCTGAGCCACCCCAAATCCATGGGGGTGGGATGGGCACGGGGCCGCTCCCCATCAGGGAATTCTGGCCATGCACTGTGGATTCCCAGAGGGAAATCAGCCCAGCTTTTCTGTGGGTTGGGCTGAGCTGTCCCTCAGCAGGGTCAGTGTCCGGGCAGGGGGATCCTGGAAGATCAGCAGGGCCGGGAAGGCCCCGGGACCGTCCCAGGACCGGCGCTTGTGGGGCTGGGACCGGCCTGAAGTGGCTTCCACGAGCCCTGGAGGGTCTGGGATTGGGAACTGCTCCCGATTCCTGATCCAAGCCAAGGACTCTTTCCAGCGGGATTTCTGGAACTGTCTCCTCCTCTCCCKGAGTTCGGAGTGCCAGTCTGGGTTTCATTTGCCAGAGCTGCCTTCCACCCCCCGTTTTTTCCCAAAGGGAGTTGTTAATGTGAACCTGGGGAAGGAGCCTTTGCTTTTCTCGGGGTAACAAAAATCAGCTGAGGGGCTGTGGGGACAGGGCCAGGAGGGACAGCGCCACCAACCCCTCCGCTCTCTGATTCCAGCCCGTGAAATCCTCCCTGCGCTGCAGGGCTTGGCTGGGCGGGCTCACAGCTGAGCCAGGCAGCGCTTCCAGACCCCGACAGCTCAGGAACGGCCGGGAGAAAGGGCAGAGCTGCCCCAAAAATAGCTCAGAATCCGCRTGGCTGCATTTCCCGTGTGTGTTTATTGTTTAAATGCCCGGTTCTGCGCGAGAGTCGGCTCCAGCCGTGTCCAGGGGCTGCWCTGGGTGCGGGGGGATCCTGGGTGTCCCTCAGGACGGAGATCCAGCACCTCCCGCCCGGGAGACATTCCAGACCGGGGGATGCTCCGGTCCGAGGGTTGCTCTGACCCGAGCGGTGCTCCGGTCCGGGGGAGGTTTTGGCCCGGGTTATGGTCTGACCCAGGGGATCCTCCCGGCTGGGGGATGCTCTGAGCCGAGGGATGCTCAGCCCCGGGTGATGCTCTGACCAGGGAGATCCTCCTGGACGGGGGATGCTCCGGCCCGGGAGACGCTCCAGTCCAGGAGAGTCTTCAGCACGGGGGAGACTCCGGCCCGGGGAAGGCTCTGACTCGAGCGATGCTCTGACTCAGGAGAGGCTCTGGCCCGGGGGATCCTCCACGCCGGGGGATGCTCCAGCCCGGGGGAGGCTCCGGCCCGGGGGAGGCTCTGACTCGGGGGATGCTCTGGTCCAGGGGAGGCTCTAACCCGGGGGATGCTCTGGTCCAGGGGATCCTCCAGCCCGGGGCAGGCTCTGACCCGGGGGATCCTCCAGCCCGGAGCTCCTCTGCAGCCGAGGGGATTCGGGGGCTGAGCCGGAGCGGAGCTCGTGGCCCCGCTTTAGGGGAGCCTACAAACACCTCCGCAGCTGGACTGGCTGCCCCAGGCTGCCCCAGGATTTCCCCGCTCCCGCAGGAGCCTGGAGGCAGCGGGGTCTGTGTCCTCCGGACAGCACGGCAGCCCTGCCCGTGGGTTCATCCACTCTGCTGAATATTTGAATATTTTTAAAGATTTAAAGATTTCCTCTCCTCACCCGCCGTCCTTGTGCTGGCATGGCCCAGGGAGCTCCACGGGCGCATTTTGGCTCCGAGTTAGGGCTGAACGCCTTCATGGAGGCTCCTCGGGCCTTGATCTCTGCCTGAGCCGTGCCTGAGGCGCGGCAGAGCTGCTTTGGGGTCTGCCTGAACCTTGCCTGGGAACTGAGCAGGGTTTGGCTTTTGGGGAGSAGCAGCCAAGTCTGAGCTCGGTGCGGGATGGGGAGCCTGGGGAGGAGGGGGGGAAGGAGACCTGGATGGGGTGAACGGGCCCAGAATGGGGTGAACGGGCCCTGGGTGGGGTGAACGATTTCTGATTGGGGTGAACAGGCTCAGGATGGGATGAACGAGTTCTGATTGGGGTGAACGGGCCCAGGATGGGGTGAACGGGCTCTGAATGGGGTGAACAGGCTCAGGATGGGGTGAACGGGTCCTGGACGGGGTGAACGGGCCCAATATGGGGTGAACAGGACCTGAATGGGGTGGATGAGTTCTGAATGAGGTGAACAAGCCCTGGTTGGGGTAAATGAGTCCTGTTTGGGGTGAACAGGCTCTGAATGGGGTGAACTGGCCCTGGTTGGGGTGAAGGAGACCTGAATGGAGTGAATGGGCCCAGAATGGGGTGAACAGGCCCAGGATGGGGTGAATGAGTTCTRAATGGGGTGAACAGGCCCTGATTGGGGTAAATGAGCCCTGTTTGGGGTGAATGGGCCCAGGATGGGATGAACGAACCCTGAATGGGGTGAACAAGCCATGAGTGGGGTGAATGAGCCTTAGTTGGGGTGAATGAATGGGGTCAATGAACCTTGAATGGGGTGAATGAGCCCYGGTTGGGATGAACAGGCCCTGGTTGGGGTGAATGAGCCCCTCTCTCACTCAAACCCCATTCCCATGCCTCTGTCCCCCACCCAGAAAAACCCCGTGCTCAGGGTTAGACGGATTTTCCCAGATTTTCATTTTCCCAGATTTTCATTTTCCCAGATTTTATCCAGCCCCCTCCCCAAACACCTCCCCCTCCTCGGAAATCCAGCCAGATCCCGAATTTCCCCTCCCAGCGCAATGAAGGAGCCGAACCGGGAGGGAATGGGGGATTTTCCACCAAGGCAAAGGATCTTTGTGGGACCTCTGAGCCATTCCAGGGAAGGAGGAAAGCAGAGGGCAGCTCGTGGCCGGGCATTCATCCCCGAGCTGAGGGAGGAGGGGCCGGGAAGGTGTCGGGGTGAGCAGGAAGGGGCGATTYGGCCCCACAGAACCCCCCTGGAGCCCCTCCCGAGAACACATCCCCAGCACAAAAGCTCACCAGGCCGCCGCCGGGGGAYAAAGGGCTCGTTTTACCACTTGCCAGGCTCCAAATATTTCCAATTTGCCACTTTAATTGATGTCAATAAGGTTATGCTAAATTCGGACATTTGGGGCCGCTCGGGCAGCTGAGAGTGCCGGTCAAGCCCCCCGAGGTGACCGTCCCCTCTCCCCCCTGCCCAGCCCGTGGTGACTCTGACATCAGCCGAGGCCAGCAGGACCCCTCAGCCCTTTTTGGCCCCTTCCCACCAAATTATCCCGGGAAACTCTGCTGATCCCTGGCGAGATCGGGGTCCCCGTGTGAAGGGCAGAGCCTTTCCCCGAGCTCGGCCCCRGGAACAAATCTGGCATTTCTGCTGCCAAAAAAAAMCCCTGAAAAAAWAAGGGAAAAAACAAAACCCAATTAGTTCATCTGGTTCAGGTCTCAAAGCAGGAAGGTTTCTTGTGCACAAATTTAATTAGGTTTTCCAACCTGGGGCTGAAACGAGCGGCACCAGGACCTGTTACCCTTTAACATTTGGGG